TCCTCCTGGTGTAAAACTATGTGAATTATTTCTGCTGAAACTGAAACTCTGAGTCAGTCACTGTGGTAACATACTCTGTGAACCTAACCTGCTCACTGGCACCTCACTGTCCACCTGGAGATTGGACATTGCACACTGAAGTTATGAGTGGTATTTCATGGAGAATCCGCTGAATTTGACAAGTCGTCACTGGCACGGTCATTTCACCTAACGCAGCTCAAAATCGCCATGCAGCGCTTACTTCCTATTGCCAGTATGTGGCGCTATCACTATGTCTGAAAATTTTCATGTAGACGTGTTCAGGGTGGGACTTATCAAACACGTGAAGTTTCATTGAGATTGGATCATGTACGCTTAAGTTATGAGGATGTGTTCAGGGTGGGACTTTACACTGAAGTTGAGTACTATCTGTTTATGGTGAATAGTCAAAATTCAACGCAACGCCAGGGGCACGTCGTTTGACGCAATGTCGTAAATAGCACAACTTTTAATCATGAGTGTCTTTAGATTGCGCTGATTAAATTTGAAGTTGATCCGATAAATTCCCTAGGAGGAGTTTGTTCAAATACAACGCGAAAAATCACAGAAAATGACCAAAAAAATCTAAATGGCTGACTTTGATGCCACGCCACGAACACGCCCTTCAACGTACATGCACAAATAGCACAACTTTTAATCAGGACCATTTTTTGAGTGTACTCAAACATTTTGAAGCACATCGGATAAATTCCCTAGGAGGTGTGTTGGCTGACTTCCAGTGGGGTTTTGGGTATGGGTCCAAGAGGCTTTTTTATACGTCCCGGCATGTTACACGTGCCTACCGAGTTTCGTACATATCGGTGAAACGTGGCACCGGGGCTGCTGTTTTTTTATCCTGTAGGGGGCACTACACAGACGACAAACGCGATTTTTGGTATGTGAGCCTCAGGCACTACTCTACATGTGCCCTGTGAATTTCATATTCATAACTATTACGGTCTCTGCACAGTAATTTATCCTGCCACCATAGCGCCACCCAGTGGCCTGATTTTTTCTGCTTTTAAGGCAAGCCTCAGGGAGCCATGGGCAAGCATCCTACCAAGTTTCATCTTAATCACACGTGCCGTTGCAGAGATATAAACTTCTTCATTTTAAAGAGCGCCACCTTGTGGTGATGGTCTGAAATTGTGCACGGTGCCTAAGGAAGACATTGGGAAGTATGGACCCAAGTTTGATGTCAATCGGACATACCAATGTGGAGAAATGGTCCACTTCCTTTTTTGACGAAAAGTGGCGGAAGTGGGCGGGGCCTATATGGAGAGATTCAGCTCCATTCACTGAACGTGTGGATATAAGTTTTTGAATGTGCGACAAAATATGCAAAAGTTATTAAGTAACCAAAAAGTGAAAATACTTTCCTAAATAGTAGCGCCACCTAGTGGCCGACCCGAAAAAGACGCATAGAATATCAAATTTTTCACCAGGCCTGACAACTTTGCCAAATAAAATTGAGTTTTCGTATATGTTCGGGGGGGGAAATGCAGTCAAAGGGGCTAAAAATAATAATAATAAGAAACGAAGCAAAAACAATAGGGACCTCCAGCGGTCGCTTGCGAGGTCCCTAATAAAGTTTATTTCTAACGCACTTTTCATAAAACAATCTCAAAGTGCTGAAGTCCATGTTTCCAATTTGCCACCGCATTGAGGATAACATTAAATAACTTCTAGTTCTATCTGAGTGTGTGTCTGCCTCCAATGTTGGCCCTGGGGTCCTGGGGGAGAGTGACGTCTGTCCTCAGCCTCTGGTCACCCAGGAACCTGACTCAGGACCAGCTCCTCTGCCTCTGTCGGACGTGGTGGAGGTGGAGGTGACTGTCACCACTTTATGTTCATCTTCTCAGCAGGATGTTAGGAGACAGATGTGTGTTAAACAGCATCTGTTGGTGGTAAAGGCTACTACAAGTTAAAATATCCACTGAATAAACTTTTACTTTGTTTAATATGTGAAATAAAACCAAAGTGAGGAGCCATCACCAGACTGATTTTATATTTCATTTTCAGCCAATTTAAATTAAATAAAATAGCCTAAAATCAAATCAAATAAAACAGTGAACAACATTCAACCACTTCCTCAAAGGCTAATATAAAAGAAAGTGATGTTAAATTCAAAATGAAAAGACGACCGCATCTAAAACTCTCTCAGTGATTTTTTTATTACGGCCGCAGCCAGAAAATATCTGCTTCCTGTTTTCGCCCCTGTTGCCATGGTGAATCATAGTATCGGAGCTCCATTGATGATGGCTTTTTACTAGTCGTCAGGCACGAGCTCAACTCAGAGTTAACATACTCAGAGTCGACTTACCTAACTCAGATCAGCTGTTCTGGAACTGAAAACTCAAAGTTTCACTTCACAGGGTAAGTCAACTCAGAGTTCAGGGTTAGGCTCAGAGTTTGTTGAACCTCCTTTCTGGAATACCCCCCAGGACCTGTTTATGAAGTTTACTTGAGTTGTTATTCTGCAAACTGACATGTAGAAATTACATAAATGATAAGTATAAAGCATTCCACTAAACAAAAAGTATGCCAACAGATAGGTGTGAAACTAACATAAGATATAAGCATATGTAAAGAAAATAGTTTAAACATGTTGCTTAGTTGCAGTCTAAGTGGCAGTAATGTCTAGACATCATTAGCATGATTTGTATCCTTGAGGGGCTGAACTCATTCTTGTATTATTTGTGTTTTGTAGTCAGCAGATGGTCCAGACCTCACTGACACTCCGGTGGCTCTCCTGACAGTCGCCACAGATGACACTACTGATGCGGCCCTCTTCAGCCCTGAGAGCATCTGTATCCTTGTGGAGGATGAAATACTTGTGAGTGGTCCCACAAATCTGGCTGACTCATTTCTCCTGCTCTTTGGGTACGTCTATGCACTAGTACCCAAGAATCTCGAGCTTACATTCACATTTATCCAAAAAGTTGTGATGTGTCTTGAGGACAACAAACCACTGAAAGGGCGTCTGCTGACGCTGAAGAATGATTTGTTCAATGAGTGAATCACTCAGAATGGACTATTTGTTGAGCTGAGTATTGAGGAAGTTTTTTGTTTTTTTCCCCCTCTTTACAAATGTAATCATTTGCCTCTTCTACCTCAGATTCAAGATGTGACACTGTTTGCCTCTTCTACCTCAGATTAATTACATTGATTGTTAATAGATAAATATCACAACATTGACGTATTGCCCAGCCCAAGTTTTTGTACTGAATAACTTGTGGGAAACGACTGTTGAATTCATGCACTATACATGTGTAATGTTCTATTGCCTAATGCCTACCTTGGTGTACTACCTTGATGTTGCCAGTTGAAGTACGGCACAGTAGAAACCAGTACTTTATTTGAATGTTTTATTTTAAAAAAGTGAGTTGCAGCCTTCAAGGTATAGTAAGTGCCAAAACCTTTTTAAACAGTGTGAAATGGCTCCACATTCTAATAGTTGTCATTGCTGTTGAGGATGGATTATACTTAGAATCTTATTGAATTTGATCGTGAATCCTTTGTGAGTTTTTATCATGTTTACTGAATAATGTGAGATGGAGACCCAAAATACTGAATCTACCCCTCTGTAGCAATGACCACTATCAGAACATGGAACTATTAACACTTAATGTACTTTAAAACATATTTTGTTTTTCTGGAGTCATTTCGTTTTCCTTTTTGTTTTAATTTATGACAAGCACTGTTTTGACTGAGCTCCTTTGCTTCGTGCCTTTTAAAAAGCACATTGTGTTGAATAAAAAAAGTTGTTAAATTGTCACTGTGGTGTCACTTATATGTTTTCTAACATTATTAGCTGATTATAATTGTATACTGGGCCGACATCAGTATTTCAGTAATTCAGAATATTGAACATTTTGAGTGTGTTTCCCACATTATATGAGTTGAAAAATATGGAAAATTTTGAGTGAATTACTCCCTAATTATAAGTTGAGGAATATCAATATTTATAAGATAACACTGAGATAATTTAAGGCAACTGTAAATGTAATTTTTATTTTATGTAAACTTAAAACATTTAAAAACATCACTAAAATATTTTTGTGTAATCTGTTACAAAATAATTTTTGAGTTCTGTGAACTTATTAGGGTTTACAGTGCATGATCAGAGCTGTTTGAGTCCTCTAAAGTCTGAAGAAAGGTGTTCAGTGCTCTCTTTATCAGCTGCTTTAGCAGAGGATACACTGGAGCAGCCTTTTCCAAAGGAGATAATGCCATCCCATAATTTCTTGGGCTGGAAAAAATTAAAGCAACGTACCGATGTAGTTTCATCATGTCAAACCAAGCAAATGTAGAAACAACAGAGCAGCTGTTTCATGTTTGTAACAACATTCAAAACTTGTGGAAATCCATAAATATAGACTTACTCTCGTGCAATTCTGTCCATTTAGGAGTCAGACAAATAATCAACAAAACAGTGTATAAATAAAATGTTTTCTCTACTTAACAAATGTCTAAAAAGGTCAAAAGCAGCCAGAAACACCCTTTTATTGGAATATATTTAACTCTTGTTCAAGTCCTTAATTTTATTTAAGGAATATGTTAATGGATGAACTTTTGTTCTTATTTTCAACAATATCTTCCTGTGATTAACTGATGGTTAAATGTAGCCTTTTTATAACCTTAAAGCATCTGCTCTCAGGAGGATTGATCTCTGTAGCACTGAGTTTGTCACTATTGTTCTACCATGTGTTAGAAATTATACGTTGATTCAAAAAGAAAAGAGCCTGGTGTAAGAGCAGTTCTTATGAATGAATGTTAAAGAGTTCGGTCTAGACCTGCTCTATTTGAAAAGTGTCCTGAGATAACTTCTGTTATGAATTGGCGCTATACAAATAAAATTGAATTGAATTGAATTGAATTATGAATTCTCCTTCACATCTTTCCACAGAGTTCGAGGAAAGTTGTTCGGGAAAGAACACAGGACATAATATTTTGTACAATTTGAACACAGTCAGTCTCACCTGATCTTTTTGCCGTTATCGGCTACTTTGGTCTTGTTGATGATTCCTGCTTTCTCCAGGAGATGGCACTGTAGAGACAGACAGACAGGCAGGCAGGTGAGAGCTCAGGTTTCTCTGAACCGGCAGGTCGGCTTTGAAACATGACTCTTTTGTAAACATGGGAGTGGTGTGTGTGTGTGTGTGTGTGTGTGTGTGTGTGTGTGTGTGTGTGTGTGTGTGCAGTTTTATATCTGTGAATAAAAACTACCTGAAGATGTTTTCACAGCCTTTACCAAAACCTCCTGAAGAACCCACAAGAGGGTCATCAAGAATCTTCCTCAGTGACCCACAACAATCCTGAGAACCCAAACACTGTCTTTTCCACCAACAGGGAACCGGCTCTGTTCCAGTTCCTAAAATTAGTTTCTGAGCATTTTGACCAAAAACATTACTGTTCAGGACCTGAAAAGTTGGTTCTCAGCTGGAACCAAAACATACCTACTTCTTGTAATGATGTTAATATATTATTATATATGTGCAATAACAAACACATAATAACATAATAAGGAAATATTGTTAATTAATGGCAAGTTGTAAAAATGTTGATACTGAAGTATGATTAAAATGTTTATTGACAATGTTCTATGTGTTTACTGCAAAAATAGGCAATGTTGCAATACTACCAGTCGTAGCGACTATGCATTATTCAAAAGAGAGCTGGGCTGTGGTGAGACAGTCCTCAGAAACACCTCAAGGAGCCCTAGACCATCAAGCCTCATAAAATCTCCATAAACCCCCAACAAGGATCACTAGATTAGTCCACAATGACTCATAATTCCCACCTCAGGACAGCTAAAACCTCCTCACAGACCTCTAAAAACCTCCTCAAGGTCTCCAGGACAAGAACAACATGGTAACACATAGCGCACCTCTTGATCTTCCTCAGTGATCCTGAAGAGTCCTTTTTAATAATACCTCTTCAATGTCTCCAAGAATTTCCTCAAGAACAAGAACATGTGGCTCAAAGACCCCCAAAACATCCTCAGACAACCCTTGGACTACATTAACAACTGCTAGAAGCTCCTCTAGAACCAACAAATACATCCCAAAGAACCTTGGATCTTTCGCAGTGATCCCCAAAACCTCATCTTCTTCTCAAGGTCCTCTAAAACATCATGATGGACTATTTGCAGACTCACCCGAGAACATCAGTCAGTCTGACCTTTTAAATCTCTTCGTAAAACAGTTTTGTCATTAAAATATCTCTGCTTGATTAAATTATGTAATTGATTTTAATTTGTTGCTTTATGTTTGTTAGTTCCTCATCGTCACCCTGAGAACCAACAGCAGAACCCGACCAAAGCTTCAGAGGTGTTAATACACATAATGAATATCAATATGATTTGGAGGGTTATTGGAGAAACACGGGGCAACTTTCTGGGCAATATTCAAACCCTGAGATCCTGCCAGTGCCCCCTGGAGGCTGCAGTGTTGATATCTGTGTCAAAGTGTTAGCAGTAACACTGATGAAACACAGCAGGGGGGGCGCCGTGTGTGTGAACTGCCCAGAAAGTTACTTTCAGATAAAGAGTTAGTTTTAGAAATTATATAAAATGTTAGTTTGATTCTCCGCGGGTTTAATCACAATCACTTGTTTCTGACAGAGAAAAACCAACACACCCAGCAACCAATCAGAGTCCAGGACCTACATTTAGTTGGTGGGAGCCTGTGCTCCGATTGGATAGATTCCTCTTCAGCCTGTGCCTATCAGAAAGCTTGATGAGGAAGAATAGGATGACATCAAGAATGAATCTAGACCTACTCTGTTTGAAAAGTGTCCTGAGATAACTTATGTTATGAATTGGCGCTATACAAATAAAATTGAATTGAATTGCATTGAATGGACTGTAATGGATCAGGCAGTGAGACAGGCATGTGAGAGGGTGAGACAGGTGAGTGTGTGTCTACCTGTGGGCTGTCGGGAGACTGTCTTCTGTTGACCTCAGTGAAGTCTGAGACGATCCTCCTGTGGCTAGGAGCAAATGTCTGAAACACAGGAGGAGTCAGTTTTTATCATCGTCATGTATTTTACCTTCATTAAACCATTTAAGTCGACTGAGGACCAATTCTCATTTACAATGATGACCTAATCAAAAGGCAGCAACAAGTGGCAGTTGATAAAACAGGAGGAGCTATTGAGGGGAAGGTGACTGGAGGTATGTTCCTGTTGAAGACCATACATTTAGTTTTATTAGTGTTTAAGGGGAGGTTGGAGAAGGTGTGCTGGATACTGTTGAAGCTGAGCTGCAGGGAGGACAGGTCAGTGTTCATGGAGGGGCTGGATATATACACAACAGTGTGTCGTCAGCATAGAGGTGGATGTGAGAACAGCCAGCAGCATTAGCAACATTATTTATATATATTGTGAAGAGGGTTTGAGCAAGTTATCATCTCGGTTTTATTTACAGAAGTTTTTATCTCATGTACACTAGTTATTATCCCATTTAGACTAAGTTATTCTAAGTCATTCTCATGTTATATTGTTTTCACAACTTCACAATCTCTTTCGTACAAGGTATCTTTTTTAGTTATCTTATTCCTTCAAGTTTTCTTGTACAAGCAAGTCAATATCTTGTTCACACTATTAATAATTTTATTTGCACCCCTCATTTTCCTGTTCGTAAGAACTATTGTCCGGAATTATATATTATAAAAGATATATATTATATCAATGTATTTTGTTTGCACAGTCATTATGTTTGTTTGACTCACGTCTTCAGCCACACTGTGTCTCCAGTTCCTGACCTGCACAGTTGTTCCATCCTCAGAAACTCCATTTCCTATCATCCGTTGGGGCAAAGGTGGAAGCTGGAACAATCAATTAATTATTTATATTAATGATAAGACATAAAAGCTGATCCACTAAGAAACTGACTGATCTACTGATCTAGGGGCGGCTGTGGCTCAGAGGAAGAGCGGGTCGTTCCTTAATCGGGTTGTGGGTTCGATCCCCGGCTCTTGGTGCCACATGTCGAAGCATCCTTGAGCAAGATACTGAACCCCAAATTGCTCCCGATGCCATGCATTGGTGTGTGAGTGTGTATGAATGTTAGTTTCTGTTCAATGGACTTTGCCATCACTGAGTGAATGTGCGTGAAAGGGTGAATGTGGCATTAGTGTAAAAGTGCTTTGAGTGGTCGGAAGACTAGAAAGGCGCTATACAAGTACAGTCCATTTACCATTTACCATTACTGATTGATTACCTCCTGCTGCCTCCACTGGGAGCTGTTTCCATCTTTTGGGTCCAGCTGAGCTCTGGGAATCACGTGCTGCTTCTGAGGGTTCTGGGAATAAAATCAGGGATAAACTGGAGATGAAATATCAAAGCTGATGACAGATTCACACGTTGCACAATCAACTCCATCTTCAGTGTGTGTGTTGTACCGTTGTGAAGACAGCGTCGTTGTCATTTTGTGCGTCTACAGGATAATCCTCCTCTGGCAGCGGAGGCTTCAGTTTAATCACAAAAACAACATTAAAAACAGTTAAGTTCTAATTTGATAAGCTGATATTACCTGATACACTTGAAGATTTTAGACGGAAAGAAAAAACTTGTGAGTGTTCTTCAGTCGTGGAAAAGCTTCAGCAACAAGGCTTAAAGCTTTAAAGCAGACGTACCGGGCCGTCATCCTGCCTCCTGTTGGCTCTGGATCCCGGAGGGGAGCAGGGTGAGGAGGGGGACAGTGGCTCTGGTGCGGCCCATGACGTGGCCCCAGAGGCAGGGTTGTAGTAGTAAAATCTCCCTGAGACTTCGTCCACCAGCTGCTCCCAACCACACAAACCCTGACAGGAGGAAAGCTTGAACGTGATAATGTGGCATTATGTTGTCCTGTTCAGTGCATATTATTATTTACTGATGTGGACTGTAATAATGTAGCATCAGGTAGTCTCTTTAGCATATCTTTACTCACATCAATGCTTCAATTTTATGATCACTCTGCATTTTATCCTTTTTCCATCACGCTTGAACCGTTTATGACTGTCTCTACATCGGTCCACATACATACGACAGAAATAACCCATTCAATGATTCGTACCTGAGAGGAGGCGGGGGAGAGTAGAGGGGAGGGCGAGGTCAACTGTCCCCCCTCGCTCCCCTTGGACTGGTCCATGTCTCGAGCGGGTGGGGGTGGAGGGCCACGGGGGTTGGACCAGCTTGTCTGTCTGGTGACCGGATGGAAATAAAAGACCTTCCCGCTCTCCTGGTCAGTGTGCACCTGAACATTTCACACACAGACAACGAGACTGAAACTACAGTGGAGTGACCATTGCTCATAACTGAATAACTGAAGAGAGTCCAGCACAAGTTAGCATGATATCTGTTAGCTTCGCTGTTGGCTAGTAGAAAGCCACTGTTAGCTTTGTACCATTAGCATAATTTATTGTTGGCTAAAATTAACACCGTTGTCAGAATACATAAATTAGTATCATGGCTATCATTAGCTGAGGAAGCTAACGTTAGCCAACTAACATTTCCACTCACATATTATTTTACTAGTGATAACATTATCGAACAAGCGAGATGACGTTAGCCAACCAGCGGTCACCCAGCCAAGTTATCCAGCGCCGGCCAACCCATAACACCAGGCAACAAACCGGGAATTTGAATGAAGCAGACAAGCCACAAGCTTTGCAGTAATGTTAGCTTTGACTTTGGGCTCTGTGTTGTGGACTCTGTGTTGGACTCTGTGTTGTGGACTCTGTGTTGTGGACTCTGTGTTGTGGACTCTGTGTTGGACTCTGTGTTGTGGACTCTGTGTTGTGGACTCTGTGTTGTGGACTCTGTGTTGGACTCTGTGTTGTGGACTCTGTGTTGTGACTCTGTGTTGTGGACTCTGTGTTGTGGACTCTGTGTTGTGGACTCTGTGTTGTGGACCTTGTTGGACTCTGTGTTGTGGACTCTGTGTTGGACTCTGTGTTGTGGACTCTGTGTTGTGGACTCTGTGTTGGACTCTGTGTTGTGGACTCTGTGTTGGACTCTGTGTTGTGGACTCTGTGTTGTGGACTCTGTGTTGTTGGACTCTGTGTTGGACTCTGTGTTGTGGACTCTGTGTTGGACTCTGTGTTGTGGACTCTGTGTTGTGGACTCTGTGTTGTGGACTCTGTGTTGCCCACTGTTGGCACTCGGGAGCATAAAGGTCACAACCTTTGACCCTCATCCTACATAGAGACACATAGAGATCAGTCCACAGGCAGCAGAGGGACAAAGCTCCACTACAACCTGTTCACTCTCTGCTCACACACACTACTCACACACAGTTATTATAAAAAAATAAAATGATTTATAATCTGACATATGGAAGCTATCAAGAATCCAGTTTTCTGACCACAGTTAAATCATCAGGCTGTTAAAATGAATGATTTTTGACAGAAAACGTTGACGTTTTAAAGGTTGTTTGTTCTAAAGTGTCTCCGAGCAAGGCAGTGAACCGTCACCTGTTCCTCAGTAAAATGAGCTTTAACTGGAACGAACCTGAACGGCTCCAATTACACCTGATTAAACTTTAATGAAGTCTGTGAAGAGAAGACGCAGCAGAGAAGAACTGAATGTAAACAGACTGCGTATAAAATGTCTGAATGTAAAATACGACCAAACATATGAAATATAAATCCAACAGAGTCTGACAGCCAATTCATTCCTGCTAATTCGAATGAAACACACCTGTGGGTCAGACCTATCAGAGGTCGCCTTACCTGCCATCCGTCCTGTGGGCTGAGTGGGGAAGTGGGGCTTATCATCTCAGAGGAGGAGGAGGCTGAAGACGAAGGGGTGTGGTCTGGAACAGAGGGGGTGTGGTCAGGAGGAGGTGATGAGGGGAGGGTGGGGCCAGGGACAGAGATCTGAGGGACAGTTTTCTTCAGACTAGAGACGTTGGCGTAGATGAGAGATTTAGGGTCGGGAGAGCTGTGCTCCTGCAGAGAGAGAGAGAGAGAGAGAGAGAGAGAGAGAGAGAGAGAGAGAGAGAGAGACACACAGAGAGAGAGAGAGAGAGAGAGAGAGAGACAGAGAGAAAGAGAGACAGACAGAGAGACAGAGAGACAGAGAGAGAGGGAGGGAGAGAGAGAGAGAGAGAGAGAGGGAACAAGAGAGACAGAGAGAGACAGAGACAGAGAAAGAGAGAGAGAGAGAGAGAGAGAGAGGGGAACGAGAGAGAGACACAGAGAGAGAGAGAGAGAGAGAGACACACACACAGAGAGAGAGAGAGAGAGAGAGAGAGAGAGAGAGAGAGAGAAAGGAATTAAAAGGCAAAGTTCTTCATTTATCAACACTCAATCCCATTAATTAAACCCAACTCGAAGAGCTGTTTGCTACAGGGAGCGTGTAACAGAGAGTGTAACAGAGTATAACAGGTACTGTAACAGGTAGTGTAACTGGAGTGTTACAGGGAGTGTAACAGGTAGTTTTTAACAGGTAGTGTAACTGGAGTGTTACAGGGAGTGTAACAGTTAGTTTTTAACAGGTAGTGTAACTGGAGTGTTACAGGGAGTGTAACAGGTAGTTTTTAACAGGTAGTGTAACTGGAGTGTTACAGGGAGTGTTACAGGGAGTGTATCAGGTACTGTGTAACAGAGTGTAACAGAGATTGTATCTCAAGTGTAACAGGGAGTGTGTAACAGAGTATAACAGGGACTGTATCTGGATTGTAACAGGGAGTGTAACAGGGAGTGTGTAACAGAGTATAACAGGGACTGTATCTGGATTGTAACAGGGAGTGTAACAGGGAGTGTGTAACAGAGTATAACAGGGACTGTATCTGGATTGTAACAGGGAGTGTAACAGGGAGTGTGTAACAGAATATAACAGGGACTGTATCTGGAGTCTTACAGGGAGTGTGTTACGTCTCTCTGCATAAATTCTCCCTTTTAACCTATTAAACACTCCAACCTGTCTTTAATGAAGCTGACTTTAGGACCCAGTGAGCCCCAGTGAGCCCCAGAAGCTACAATGACATTATGGGATGTTCTGTTCCTCATTAACAGTAACAGTCAGTCAGTCTCTGGGTGGAGAGCTGCTGTCCAACAGGAAGAACTCCACCTATGTTTTATAAACACACACACACACACACACACACACACACACACACACACACACACACACACCGAGTAAACAATGAAACAACAACCTAAAAACTTTCTCTTTCAATATTAATTATTCAATTATCTATATTCCTTTATTGTTCAAGATTATACAACCAGTACTGTTACTCTACAATTACTGTGCTATAGATACAGATTACTGTACTATAGATACAGATTATGTATTATAGTTACAGATCACTGTACTATAGATACAGATTATATATTATAGATACAGATTACTGTACTATAGATACAGATTATATATTATAGATACAGATTATATATTATAGATACAGATTACTGTGCTATAGATACAGATTACTGTATTATAGATACAGATCACTGTACTATAGATACAGATTACTGTACTATAGATACAGATTACTGTACTATAGATACAGATTACTGTATTATAGATACAGATTACTGTGCTATAGATACAGATTACTGTATTATGGATACAGATCACTGTACTATAGATACAGATTACTGTGCTATAGATAAAGATTACTGTGCTATAGATCTGTACTATAGATACAGATTACTGTATTATAGATACAGATTACTGTACTATAGATACTGATTATTGTATTATGGATACAGATTACTGTGCTATAGATACAGATCACTGTACTATAGATACAGATTACTGTATTATAGATACAGATTACTGTGCTGTCAGACGATCAGCTCAACGGTGAGAATTTAGACAAATAAAAAATGTCGAAAAAAATAAACTCAAAACTTTGAGTCTCAGAAATATTAAAGTCAGTATTTATTATTTATGGAATTATTTATTTTATGTTAAAGCTTCACATTAATGAATATTTAGTGAGTTTTTGCTGACATATGAACAGATCAATAATGAGTACTGACTCATTAACACAGAAACTGGACAGACCAGGATCAGGTGTCAATGTTTAACAGTCAGAGGTCAGAGGTCACGCTCAACAATAACCAGCAGAGTTTCACATTAACTCAGCTGACTGCAGATCAGCTGTCCTTCTTTAAAGGAGCAGACATTTAATCTATAATCAGTAATCAATCGATAATAATGATCAGCAGTCAACAATGCGTTTGTATTCCAAATAGTTCAGACTTACCCACAATGCCTCTCTCTCTGTTCTGGATTAAAGTCTCTTCAACATCAAACAAACAGTCTGAAACTCTGCTTCAGTCTGTTTCTGTTGTCAGACTGCAGCTGTCTGTAGCCCCGCCCCTCCCAATCTGCTTTCTGTAGACCCGCCCCTCCTTATCTGCCCCCGGTAGCCCTGCCCCCTCATTATCTGCCAGCTGTAGCCACCCCCATGGGTTTTTTGGGAGAATCAATCTCTTTGAATATATTACCTCTTCAAGGACTCTGAACTTTCTCAAGGACTCCTTGAATCTCTTCATGGAACTCAAGGACTCAGTGTGGTTCTCAACCATCATGGAATCTGTAAATGTTCCTCCAGGACAACCTGAAACCTGTGTACAGAACCTCTTCAAGGACTCCTGAAACCTCTTCAAGGACTGTTGTTTGTTTACATGTTACTGTTTATTTACACACACACAGTCAGCTGATCTAAGGTCTGTGTTTCTCAGCAGGAAGACGATGTGCTGCTGCCACCTGCTGGTCCAAACCAGAACCTCTCATGGTAGGAAGACAACAACTCCCATGATCCCACGCTGCTTCACCACCTCATCTCACTTCCTCTTGCCCTACTGTTCTGATGTGACAGAGCCCCCTACTGGCAGAACGGCGCACTGCGGGTTTAAACAACCAGAACGAGCTCTCGTCTCCTCGTGTTGGTGAACTGATTTTGTCATTCCGGTTGTTCCTCTCTCGTCCTGCAGGGATCGCTGCAGCGTCGTCCACTCCCAGTTTCCTGTCTGACCCTGAACACATCCTGCCATCTGTGACATCACTACATCCTGCCGACCTCATCACATCCTGCTGTGACATCACAGGACCCACACAGACCCTGACCAGAACAGATCTGCCCCCCATTACTGAAATCCATCAGATCAATAAATGAAAATAATACAATAAAAATATATATATTATAAACTATATATATATATAAAGTATATTAAATCCGATAAGTAATTGTAATAGTGTGTTTCTGCTGGAGGTCAAAGGTCAGCTGTGTTTCTGCTCTGATGAGAATAAAAAGAGGAAACAGCTTTTTCTTTTTTTGTTCTTTGTGCTTCCTGTGTGGACGCGACAGGAAATGACACGCTGCAGAGGGCTTTTATTTTGTAAAGAGACCTGCAGCCGGTCTGAACTTCAACAAGTCAGATCCCAGAACATCCAGCTGTGATCATTTGTGATGGTAATTATTGATTATTGATGATTAATGTGGAACAGAGGGGAGCCGACATTCAGCCGCGATCAAACCGAACAGTGTTTATTGATTATACGTCAATGTGATCATATTCAGAGAGCAAACGACAGAAAAGAGTCTGTTAACGTCGACAAACCACCGGCATCCACCACAAAGTCACAGTAAACATCATCGTAAAGCCTGTGGAAGATATTGTCATGTTGTGCTTTTAGCTAGATAACTTGAGCTGTTAGCTTGCTATTGTTGACTAAATTCAATACCACGTGTCAGAATATAGAAGTTAGTATCAACTAACTTATTTATTCTGACAAACGGTGCAGAATTTAGCCAACAATAAATGATGTAGCGGTACAACGATAGCTTCAAACTAGCTAACAGTGATGCGAGGCAGGGGCATCCAGTTCTCGAAGCGCCGCAGAGAGTGGCAGCCCGACGCAACAGCTCCCGCTCCGCCTTAAATCTTACTACTTCTTTATTCCTTCTTAAACAGCACTGTGTTTATTGTTGTAAACAGACCTCCAGTGTTGGTAGTTAATTTTATACTTTTTTAGCCGTAGTTGAACTTATTATTTATTTTTTTTTAAATATAAACAATGTGTAGGAATGTGGACACAACAACCACCACACAACAAAACACCGGAGGTTATTCACATGAGAACTTCCTACGGTATCGGGATTTATGTGTCACATGTCCGAGGGAGATCCCGTCGGAGTTAAGGAGACGAAGGAGAGGAACCAGAACAGGCACGTTGGTGAGGACCAAGAAGGCAGAGAGACGATGGAGATACAAGCCATGTCTTCCCTCGGTTGTCATGGGACATGTACGATCATCAACAACAAGACGGACGAGCTCTCGGCCCTGGTCAATGGACAGCGAGAGTATCGGGAGTGCAGCATATTATGTCTGACGGAGACATGGCTGAATGACATTACACCAGAGTGTTCAGTGGAACTGGACAGTTTTTAACTAGTTCAGGCAGACAGGAAGAAACAGAGCGGTAACAAGTCAGGAGGAGGGCTCCCTTCTTTGTGAACTCTAAATGGTGTAACCCTGGACATGTTGTCAACAAAGCAGAAATCTGCACGCCTGACATTGAACTGCTGGCCATCGGGTTAAGGCCATACTATCTGCCCCGTGAGTTTACGGCCACTATTGTCGTCACTGTTTACATTCCTCCACCGGCAGTAGCACGCCTGTGACGTCATCCACTCCACCGTTGAGGTGGGGATGGAGCTGGATAGTGTGGAGGCTGTGACGGAGAAGAGGGTGAGAGGGAAGCTGAAAGCCATCATGGACAACCCCTGTCATCCTCTCTACACTGAGCTCAGGCAGCTCAGGAGCATCTTCAGCTACAGACTGACCCGGCCCCAAGCCTCAAAGCGGTTTGGAGGCTCATTTGTACCATCAGCCATCAGACTCGACAACGCCACAGCTCCCAGTACCTCCAACCTCCACAACGCCACAGCTTCCAGTACCTCCAACCTCCACAACCACAGCTCCCAGTTCCTCCAACCTCCACAACCACAGCTCCCAGTTCCTCCAACCTCCACAACCACAGCTCCCAGTTCCTCCAACCTCCACAACGCCACAGATCCCAGTTCCTCCAACCCCAACAGATACAGACTGGTTAAGAACTCCTACCTACAACGCACAAACCTTTTGCACTATTTATATTTAATTTCCACTTTAGTAGTTTAGTAGTTTTAGTTTTTTAGTTTTAGTGAAGTTTAATTTTCTGCTCATATTTTGGTCTCCATGTCCTACTTGAACAACAAATAGTGTATATACTTTAATTTATAGTTTTTACATCTTCCAATATTAATAATATTAGCAATATTTTTATTCTATTTCTATTCTATTCTTTGTTTTCTGTTTTTGCACTGCTTTGCCCTATTGCTGCTGTGTCAAAATGAATTTCTCCTTAGGAGGATAAATAAAAGAATTATCTTATCTTATCTCTAGCTAACTGTAGCTAAGCTATGCTGGTGTTGTCTGGCTCGCTGTGTCTTGGCTGTGTGGTCTGGGTCTGGCGTTGGTTGCTAGTTGAAGCTAATGGTCCGGACAGGTAGTGGACCAGAACCCGAGGTGGGACTGAGAAGGTCTCAGCTGTCTTACCTGTGTGGGCGGCAGGGCAGGTGCAGTTTCAGGCGGAGCTCCAGGACTCACTCTTCCTCCAATCAGAGTCTCTATGTCCAGGTTCAGGTCCTGGATGGACTCATAGATGTGGTTTGAATCTTCCTCCTTTAGTGAATCCTCCTCGCCGGTGCTCTCCTGCATGCTCACCTCCTCCTCCTCCTCCTCCTCCTCCTCCTCTGGCTCTATCGGGGACTCCTGGTCGTCGTGGTGACCTGCAGATGGTGAGGGCGTGCTGTCATTATTGGGGGGGACCACAGGGACCACAGGGACCACCGGCGTTTCCACAGGGATGGGCTGGGTTTGGGGCCGGGATGTAGAGAGGGGGTCTGCTGGACTGAAACTTGGGACTCGATGCTTCCCAGAGTCCTTGTCGTCATCCAGGAAACCTGGAAGGTGATTTTTGTTCAGAGCATCATTGGTCACATTTGTAGTCCCACTGGTGGTTGTGGTCCCCGTCTCTGCGGGACCAACAGGAGGTTTGCTGGGGTGACGTGGGGCTGGCACGACCAGAGACAGGTCATGGAAGTCCAGTGGGACACCAAACGTGGACATGCGGTTCTCAGTCTTGCGGTATGTGGTTGAAGCATCAGGTCTGAGCCGGATCGTCACCTCGTCCCCCGGTTTGGTTTTTGGTCCTGGGCTTGGTTCCTCCAGACTCTTTGGAACAGGGACGGGGACTGGGACCGGTGCAGCCACAGGAAGCGGAAGCACCGGTTCAGGATTGGGTGGATTGGCAAAGTCCAGAGGGGAGGGGAAGTCCGGCGGCAGCTCCTTCACATACTCAGCAGGGATGTAGAAGGGCTTAGAACCGTGGTCACTGCAGACCTGCCACCAGTGGTCATTGGTCTTAGCCAGCAGGACGTAGCGCTCGTTGGGTTTGATGGAGACCAGCACCCCGTCTCTACCCTGGTACTCATACGGAAACTCCACCAGAACCAGACCCAGACCTGCGGGACCAAGATCAGAACAGAAGATTAGAGGACATAATGACGTACAGTGTTAAAGGGAATGCTAATGCTAATCCTAACTCAACTGATACTGATAACATTACTACTCCTTTTTTAAAGCTTCCAGATATCAGATTATAAATCACTTTATAATTGTCTGCGCGGTGTGGGTCTGGCGTTGGTTGCTTCGTGGTGTTGGCTGATGGGTGATTTGTAAACAGCGAGCTAGTTAGTAGCATGGAGCTAATGGTCCAAATAAAATATAGGAAGATTGCAGATAGGAACGTTATTCTAAATATGATTGTCAGTTATTTTACAGCGTTCAGTGTTTGTCACTGTTGGCCGACGCCCAGGATGATGCAACAGGAAGCTGACTGCAGTTCACTGAATGGCCACTGGTGGCGCTGTTAGTTACAGTTCAATCATTACAGCTGATACTTTAACTACTACATTTAAAGTTGAATAATGTAAAAGGAGGACTCACCTCTGCCGAGCTGGGAGGAGGTCATTGCCATGGTGACGGCGCTGGGCTTCTTAGGCCCCGCCCCCTTCAGGAAGATGGGCAGGTTACTCTGAAGGTGAGGGGTCAAAGGTCACACCTGATCATCAGCCCCCTTAAAGAGAGAAAACTCACATCAGAACTACTGAAAGTCTAACCATCCAGGCGCTAGCTTAGCATTAGCATTAGAGCTTTAACTGTCGACTGGTTTCTCATCTGCAAACAATCGTTATCAGACTCATTACGCACAGTTTCAGTACTTAGAAATAAAGCATTTGTTGGAAAATAGTAAAAATATCCCTTCATATTCAAATTTTCCAGCACAACAGAGATTATTTCCAGGATATTTGGTCATTTTGATACATTTTCAGGTGTTTCCATGACTGGAAAACTGGTCTCTATATTTCCAGGTTTTACAGGATTCGAGGGAACTCTGCAGTCAGCTTCAGAAAACTCACGAAAACCAAACTGATTAGAAAAACCAACACAACAAACATCATCAAGATTCATTAGTATGGCCCAAAAAAGTCCAATGAGGTTCGAGTCCAAGTCAGAAGCTGAGTTTCTGGTGGCAACCTGTCAATGATCTAGACTGATTAGGAATTAAACCAATGAGACACATATCAGGTCCTCTGAAGAAGGACAGATGGACAACCCTAATACATACATACATACATACATACATACATACATACATATATTTATGTATGTATATGTATGTATGTATAGCCCTGTACAATCCAATCCCATGTAAAACTCAGTTTATCATTACATTTAACTGTCTGTGTTTCCCAGTGGGACAGAAACAGACCGACAGCAGCTGCTCACACACAAACAGAGGAATGACAGTTATGTGTTCCTCTTCTTGTCAGAACAAGTCAAACTACAATCAGCTCCCAAAGCTAACGCTAACGCTAACCCTCGTGCTATGCTGCCATCTCTTTCTGCCCCCCCATCCAGCTGTAGGTCTGCTTCATAAACCTGATCCGGGTTCAGCAGTACCGGACTCACCTGTTCCGATGTCTCAGTATTAATGTTCACACTCACCTGTCAGCTGCTCTGATTCAACGCTGCAAAGTAAAACACAGCCTGCAGTGATTCTTTACAAAACCCCGCCCACTCTGTAGGTCGAGGGGCGGGGCTTATCAGTGACATCACCTGCTCAGGTAGAAACCTGCAGACACTCTATCAGCGGGTTCATTACACAAGTACTGATACTTACTCGAGTAAAAGTACTCAAACTTCAAATACTGCGTGAAGTTTATTTATTAAAGAAGAGAATGCACATAAGGTAAGTCTACTATGTACATGTGACAGATTTAGACATAATGGCTCATTTTTATTTGCAAATCTTTAACTTATCCTGTGAATTTACATGTTTAATGTATAATCACGTGACAAATCAGCAACTGTAAATAATCATAAAATTACTGATTTTTTTCACCAAAAAGATTAAAATGTATTTAATTATTTTTTTTTTAGATATTTACAGTGTAAAAGAATTGGTAAAAATACAATTGTTATCAGTGTAAACAGCAATAATTACTGTAATCTCACAGATAATGACTTTTATTAACGTTTAACATTCACATTAATTAAGCGGTGGATTAATTATCCACCGCTGGCTGTCGAGGTGGTGTCCAGCAAACGATGTGGGCTTCATTGATAACTGGAAGCCTTTTGGGGAAAACCTGGTCTGATTAGGAGAGACGGCATCCATCCCACTTTGGATGGAGCGGCTCTCTTATCTAGAAATATGGCGAAGTTTATTTCTAAAACCTGACAGTCCAGAGTTAGGACCAGGAAGCAGAGCTGCTGTCTTACACACTTCTCTGCGCTTTCTTTAGAACAGTCACCCACCCAAAACCCCATAGAGACTGTGTCTGTCCCCCGACCACCTAAACTATTTAAAGAAATAAAAACAAGAGGAGTTCAACATAAAAATCTAATAAAAATTAAAACCAACTCCTCAGTAGCACAAAATAAGAGAATGAAATGTGGGCTGTTAAATATCAGGTCTCTTTCTTCAAAAGCTGTTCTAGTGAATGAATTAATATCAGATTATGATATTGATTTACTTTGTCTTACTGAGACCTGGTTGTCCCACGAGGAGTATGTTAGCCTAAATGAATCCACCCCCCAGTCATATTAATACTCACATTCCTCGAGGCACAGGCCGAGGAGGTGGAGTGGCAGCCATATATGATTCGAGCGTTTTAATGGACCCTAAACCTAAACTAAATTATAATTCATTTGAAAGCCTTGTTCTTAGTCTTTCTCACCCAAACTGGAAAACACTGCAGCCAGTTCTATTTGTTATAGTGTACCGCGCTCCTGGACCGTACTCTGATTTTATATCTGAATTTTCAGAGTTTCTATCAAGCTTAGTCCTTAAATCAGATAAAGTAATTATTGTAGGTGATTTTAATATTCATGTGGATGTTGACAATGACAGCCTTAGTAATGCATTTATATCATTAATAGACTCAATTGGCTTCTGTCAGAGTGTAAATAAACCAACTCATTGTTTTAATCACACTCTTGACCTTGTTTTATCATATGGCATTGATATTGAACATTTAATAGTCTTCCCACATAATCCTTTCCTATCTGACCATTATTTAGTAACTTTTGAATTCATACTATTAGATTATAAGCCATTAGGCAAAACTTCCTACAGCAGATGTTTATCTGACAGTGCTGTAGCTAAATTTAAGGAGGAGATTCCTTCAGTGTTTAATTCAATGCCATGTCTGAATTTAACAGAGTCCTATAACAACTTTAGTCCCTCTGAAATTGATAATCTTGTCGATAGTGCTACAGGCTCACTACGATCAACATTAGACTCTATCGCTCCTATAAAAGGAAATTATTAAAACATAGGAGACTAGCACCTTGGTATAACCACCAAACCCGCCAGTTAAAGCAAATAGCTAGGAAATCTGAAAGGAAATGGCGCTCTTCCAAATTATCAGAATATCGCTCAAATTGGCAAGATGATCTTAAGATTTATAGAAAGGCCCTCCGTAATGCCAGAGGAGCCTATTACTCAGCACTAATAGAAGAAAATAAGAACAACCCTAGGTTCCTCTTCAGCACTGTAGCCAGGCTGACAGAGAGTCACAGCTCTATCGAGCCACATATCCCCATAAACTTAAGTAGCAATGACTTCATGAGCTTCTTCTATAATAAAATTATTACTATTAGAGAAAAAATTAATCACCAACTGCCATCAACAGTTATCAGTGGCTCTCCAAGTTCAGGGACTTCTGTCAATGTAAACTTAGATGTATATTTAGACTGTTTTTCTGCTATCGATCTTCATCAGTTAACTTCAATCATTTCTTCATCGAAGCCATCAACCTGTCTGTTAGACCCGACCCCAACTAGGCTGCTTAAAGAAGTTGTTCCCTTAATTGGCACTTCTTTACTGGATATGATTAATCTTTCTTTATTATCAGGATATGTACCACAGTCCTTTAAAGTAGCTGTAATTAAACCCCTTCTTAAAAGTCTACTCTTGACCCAGGGGTTTTAGCCAACTATAGACCGATTTCTAACCTCCCGTTCCTCTCTAAGATTCTGGAGAAAGTAGTCGCCAAAGAGTTGTGTGACTTTCTACATAACAATAGTTTATTTGAGGATTTTCAGTCAGGATTTAGAGTTCATCATAGCACAGAGACAGCTCTGGTTAAAGTTAATAATGACCTTCTGACTGCTTCTGACAATGGACTTGTCTCTGTACTTGTATTATTAGATCTTAGTGCTGCATTTGACACCATTGACCATGATATTCTTTTACAGAGACTTGAGCATCAAATTGGCATTAAAGGAACTGCCCTAACCTGGTTTAAGTCATATTTATCAGATCGTTCTCAGTTTGTACATGTTAACGATGAATCCTCCATAAATACTAAAGTTAGTCATGGAGTTCCACAAGGTTCTGTACTTGGACCAATACTATTTACTTTATATATGCTCCCTTTAGGCAACATTATTAGGAATCACTCCATTAACTTTCACTGTTATGCAGATGATACGCAGTTATATCTATCAATCAAACCCAATGAAATTAATCAATTATCTAAATTACAAACATGTCTTAAGGACATAAAATCCTGGATGACCTGCAATTTTCTGATGTTAAACTCAGAAAAACCGAAATTCTTGTTCTTGGCCCCAAAAACCTTAGAGACTCATTGTCTAAAGATATAGTCACTCTAGATGGCATTAACTTGGCCTCTAGCACCACTGTCAGGAATCTTGGAGTTCTCTTTGATCAGGATTTGTCATTTAACTCCCACATAAAGCAGACCTCTAGGACTGCCTTCTTTCATTTACGTAATATTAGAAAAATTAGACACATACTATCACAGACAGATGCAGAAAAACTAATCCATGCATTTGTTACTTCAAGGCTGGATTACTGCAACTCTTTATTATCAGGTTGCCCCAATAAGTCCATTAAAAACGCTCCAATTAATTCAGAACGCTGCAGCACGAGTACTGACAGGAACTAGAAAAAGAGATCACATCTCTCCTGTACTAGCTACTCTGCATTGGCTCCCTATAAAATGTAGAATTGAATTTAAAATACTCCTCCTCACCTATAAAGCTCTTCATGGTCAGGCCCCTTCATATCTTAAAGAGCTCATAGTACCCTATTACCCCACTAGAACACTACGTTCTCTGAATGCTGGGCTACTTGTGGTTCCTATAGTCTCTAAAAAGTAGAACAGGAGCCAGAGCCTTCAGTTACCAAGCTCCTCTCCTGTGGAACCGGCTTCCAGTTGTGGTTCGGGAGGCAGACACCCTCACCACTTTCAAGAGTAGGCTTAAGACATTCCTCTTTGATAAAGCTTATAGTTAGGGCTGGATCAGGTGAGTCCTGAACCATCCCTTAGTTATGCTGCTATAGGCCTAGACTATCGGGGGGATTTCCCATGGTGCACTGAGCTACTCTCTTCCTCTCTCTTTCTGCACTCATTCATGTCCCTTTAATGCATGTTACTAACTTCACTTCTTCCCCGGAGTTCTTGTGCTTTCTCGTCTCGCAGGTTCTCATGGATCCTGGTGGAGCCTCCTGCCATGGTCCTGCTTGACTGCCATTGCCAA